CGCTCCACCCGCCTTGCTGCTCTACTCACATAGATTGCGTAGGTGGTTTTGTTTACGCCCTGATTGGCTCTACTTGCGGGCTCATCGTCCTATCAGACAAAGACGTTTGGCGTGTTTGAGGTTACGTCGATCTGACAAACGGCGTGCTTCTGTCGCACTGAGTTCTAGTCACGAGACATAAGAGTGACGAGGGCTAGTTTGTTCGCGTGTTGTGGCAGCTCGCCTCGGGCCAATGCATCATGATGTGTTTAGTCCGGGGAGCTTCATCCCCGAGGCACTGTCTCCACACTTCATCCGGCTACATCAAATCCCAGTGGCAATCTCTCCAGGAATGCTTCATTCCCACACGCTTAAACAGGGGTATCCCTTCCTCAGCTACTTCATCCATTTTCTTTGCAGCCTCGAATGTAACAATCTTTGACGAATTCTAGCCTCTGCATCCAAATATCGGATTATAACATCTTATCCCAGTTACCACGTTGTTTCAACTTTAAACTTTCCGCATTGTACGTGGATACACTCATTTCTAAAAAAATATTCGCGTGGGCACTGCTGAGTATTCAAACGTTGTATTTCCCGGTAGAATTACTGCGACATTTCATTGCAGTCGAAGTCTGGAATTTCCTGCGTTCGGTCTTGATTCAAATCAGGACGGTAATTCGGTCGCTGTGACCAGTCATACGTATTCATCTCCAACTTTGACAGATCCCTGCATTGAATCTATTGATTATATTCAGTAGAATAATAACTAAGGTTCCTGTGGCACGGATCCACACAACGCATTTTCTGAGCACAACAGTCTGATGACCAAGACCTGACAAGTTTCCTTCGGAAGCGGGTACTGTAACTGGCATGGTTGGGTAATGTGCTCCTTTTCACTGTTGCGACAGGTGAACGCATACAATGCCGCGCGTGTGAATCACTTAGCCCTGTTGCGACAGGTGAACGCATACAATGCCGCCTGGTAGTGTTGCAGATGGGCTGATTAGAAATCGACCAATGGTAGGGAGAACCATGACGGATGCTCATGAACCAATCAAAGCTGAGCAGTTATCGGGCACAGCAGACGCGGTGCCGTAATGCCTCGGTTGGGTGAACGTGTGACTGGGATCACTCTAGTTCATTTTTTTGAAATGATGTGAGTCTCCACGATCCCTTGGTAAACTGTTGTGTCATTTCTGAAGGTGTTTTTGAATTACTTAAGTCCCGGTCAACCTAAGTTAGGTCCATCTGTCTACCATATTCATCACTCGCCGTAATATCGTCGAGGTTTTCGCCCCAAAAACGTCTGACTAAGCTCCCACTTCTGCACTCATTTTACTGAAGTCCTGCCGCATCTTGACAAAAAGGAGAAAATGTTTCACAGAAAGACAAAATGCCCATCTGGGCAAACAACCGTGAAATTCCACGTAACTGGATGGGTTATTGCCCTCACAGGATCCTAGGGTCGTTCTAGTGTTACGGAAAGTAGTGAAACAATAAAACTTCCTTAATTTTGTCCACCTGAGTAACGTTACAGCCAATGCACACTTGTGATAACATGACTGATCAAACTATGTGAGTTTGCGACTTCCGCCATGTGAATGATGGCATTATTCTTTTTCCCCTCGTTACTCCTCACTTCTCTCCCCTCCACGACCCATCGTTGTCCACATGGCTAGGCACTTTCGTCATGGGGCTATATAATCAACCAGTGTACCTAGGCATCTAGTGCCGGTGCAGTTCCGTTTTCTCTCTGTTTTAACTAAACACCGCTGGACAACACAGCAAAAACAATGATAACGGGACAAACCACTCGTGACTCGCCCGTGTCTCTTCAATTATTTCAACCTACCTCGCCCATCTACGCCATCCACGTTTTCTACCAGGGCGACCAGATCAGATCCCATCATTGTTCAGTAGGTGTGGCAGACTGAGTAATCATGAGTACGCTCATACAAGAGAATCGATAAACCTAGAATTTGTTGGCGTCCAATCACATCAGTCGACCAAAGACGTAGAAGGGCATGGTGTGTTTGTGACCGATAAGGATGCTCCATTCTCAGTACGAAATACCGGCACTTAACGCTTGCATGTAGGTTATCGACTGTTGTCAAACGGAGGTACTGAAGGTAGGGGAAGGATTTCCTTCTGTCGAAGCTTTACCTCCCGTAAGGTCTTTGATGAACGACTTCCTTGAGAACGATTGAAGAGGTATCTCCAGAATGCCACTACCTCCAAAGTTCCTAGTTCAATAAACCCCCTGGTTAATTTCACTTAAGTGGAATAGTTAGAAGACAAATCAATCTTTTGCCAAGTATTATCATTGGAGCAGTGACTTGGTTTCAACAGGAGACTCGACTGGATTCAACCGGATCTCTCGTTTATCTTATTCTCCAATTGAATGTGACTAGCAATGACCGTCTCATGTTTCATTTGTTGTGATATTCGATACACCGTAATACATTGTGTTCACTGAACACACACTATATACATACGGCTTCTCAAAAGTCCACAAATGGTCTCGTGAACCTCATGTTCTGCTAGGACCCGAAACGGATTTAGTTCGCCGAATACTCTTTCTTGTGAAGATTGAGCTGGATTCACTTAAGTCCCCTGTTAAAATCAAAATAGTGTACAGATGAGTGCGGTTCTTGAATTCCGTCCAATTTGACTTTGCCCATGGACTTGTGGAGAGTGGTTGACTTCCTGCTCCTTGCGCGCGCGCCAGTGTGTGTTGAGCCTAGTTGTATGCCTATTTATTGTGAAGAGAGAGGCGTCCGTTCGTGTTTGATACTTGCACGAACATGAATGCAACTTGACCTGTTGTGTTGAGTGGAGTTCATAATCCTGATTGATGACGCAGTGGTAGCCGCGTAAACAAAAGTGATTGAGAAGTTTTACTGTACATGTTGTCGCTTGAGGTTGCAAGTGGGACAGGGATTGTCACGTGGTTTGAATGTTTGTGACGCGTGATCTGATTGATGAGTGACCTCTACAAATATTCTCCCCTAAGCGAAGGAGAGAAGTAAGTGCTGATGAAATGGTAGGTGATGCTCGTGGTTGTGGGGTAAACAAGATAATAAATAGACAGCCTATGTCGATGTACTAATAAAATTAGTTTCAGGGGTAAGTAGACAGGAGCGTAGCCGCTACAAGTTCAAGTAGAACATAAGATTGACGGAAATCTGGGAGTGTGCCCACATAATGAGCCCCACGAAAGGCAAAAGCGGTCTTGGGCTACGAAAGGTTCTCAGTGGCCTCACGAGTAGTGTCTGAAGTTTAGACAAAAACAGATTTTCTCAACTCTCTTCTGAAAAAAATAAACTTCAATAAGTAGTGTGTTAGTTTCAGTCTCATTGCACTAAAGGTGAGTAGAGATCAATGCCATTCATTTATTTGTAAATTAATGGGAATCTCAACCTAATAGCGGTTGGATTTCTCTCCCATATCATTTTTAAAAAGAAGCAACGGATTCACTTTAGCTCACCATTAGCACTATCTTAATTTCCAAACCATTGCTTATTTGATTTTCATGTACGATGTAAGGACGGCAGAAATTCAAAGGTAAGATCCATCTGGTGAGCTTCCAGAGGATGAAACTTCTAATTAGCTGACCGGGGTATACCACAAATCGTATCAAATGTGACCATTAGTATAGCGGTCTTGCTTTCGTAAATGTCCGTGTACCAGTTAAAAACCACCGGGTTCCTGTTCACCTAACTTTGGCACACACGCTGAACTGCCTCCCACAGTCCAGCCTACCAAATGACCTTTGACCCATCTCTGCGATTTTCCACGTTCAGACTGCCGTGAGTGAACCAGTCAATTATTTGTTTGCCAGATCTTTATGAGACGTGTTAGTGGTTTCCTCGGCGTGTGGAAAGAAAACCAACAACTCCGTTTTCGCGATAAACGATCATTTGCAAACCAATTTGTTTTTAACGGAGGCTCAAGTGAATCAGAACTAAACTTGTCGTTTACAACATCCTTCAAATGAATTTGGTGCACAAGGGCTGCCTCATGTTTTATGTGGTGAATCTGGTGAGCACTTCAATAATTTGGTAAAACATAGGTGTGAGGGGTACAAAACAGTACAAACGTTCAGCGCGCTATCTGGTGTGGAAACTTCTAACGTAATATCTACCCTACCCATAAGGTTGCTGACTTATCACGCCTGAACAGGCGAGCGTGCTCCCTCTTGAGCGACGTGATTGGCTTGCCCAATGCCTCGAACGGCAAGCCAATGACTGTCCAGGTTATGTCGATCGATTGGGATGGACCAACCAGAATAGCCGGGCGGAGACAAGAAGAGGACTGTTCAAACCAGGGGGACGTGAACACAAACAACTGTACTTGGAATGTGTTCAATAACTCAGTACATCCAGGGTCACTAATCTCCAAAATAAGATAAATTAGCACACCTCATTTTCTACGGCTTTTTTTATTTTGGACCTAGCGCGTAGGCTGCCCTACATTTAAAAACAGATTGGGTATTCGTTGAACGTTTTGACCTGTTTGGAATTTATCATTTGATGTATAATTGTTATTCGAACAAATTGAAGTCTTGAAACGGTTAACAAACTCATTTTCGGCTGGAAAGAACACTTTTTATTGCAAGAAGGTTCATCGCTGGCTGTAACCTTGCACTCTCTGTTTTTAGCTATAGATAAATAAGTCTGACTTGAGGACCATTCGAGGCTCATTTCACAGAAATGTTAGCGCTCAAAAAAGCTATTCGGCTTCGGAAAACTTCGAGAGGAGGACCCACTCTTATTAATACTTGAACGTGTATTTAATCAATTTATAGGTTAGTTTACAAGACTAGTATATCAGGTAGGTGTCATGGATAAATCTCCAAATATTTAATGAGGAACACAACTGGAATAATCCGACAGATTACAAATACTTTCCACAAAAATGATGAATTTCGCATTCTCCTAGCACTTTCGCGCGTTGGCTCCAACTGATATAGCTACGTATGACAAGGTATCCCAAATAACTGGTAGTAGCTGAAAAAATCAGGCTTCTTCAGGATGTCTATGTGGACAGGTTACCAATCCACCTTTGAAAAAATCTTTGGACTGTAGCACCCTTTCGGTGCCTAGCTGCCATGCCACGCGAAGGAAGTACGAGTATTGGGATACAGCCCAATTGCTCAAGCCTAGAGAGAAGCCGAAATGCAGAGACTGGGTTCGAATCACGGATCCTCCGGTCAGTAAATCCTCAATCTAATCCCCAAACAATCTCACTCCATCAGCCTTAGAAAGAAGTAGGGCGAGTATATTACTAGTAATATTGTATTTCTAGTATTTTTAATCCCATTGCTTTAGACTGCCACATTCATCCACCCCAGTTGAATGCCCCACCTAATCAAGGAGAATAAACACTTGTGCAATTCTGAAGGCCAACCTGTGAGACAAAATCAGTTTAGACTGTAAAAATTTTTGGAAACTGTCAACATTTTACGAACTTGTACGAGGTTCTGGACCTTCTATCGTTTAGTTAAGATAAAAGTTTAGATATTCAGGGACTACAAAGATCTGTATTTTATTGATTTGGACAGATTTTGCAAACACGCAATTAATACTCATTTAGTCTTTTTTAATTTCAAATACAAAAGGAGCGATTTTAACAATAGGAGAGCCGGTCACGCTGTTGTAACGCTTTGGACGATGATTAGTTTACATTTTGAGAGATAAAAAACAGGGATTAGGCTCAAACGTGTAGGAAAGAGATGAGGGTAAGTAAGCCAACGACATCGATGTGCAGAAAAGGCATGGCTGTGTGTTACACCAGTGCATCTAGATACTACCCAAAGAGCAGAGATGTCTACCATACAGTTAGCCCAGACGGAACAAAACAAGAAAGCATGTGTGTACCCCGAGTCAGACTATAATGCAGACATCGCTAATGGCGAAAAGCCGTTCATCTGACCACTAGATTATTAATGTAATCACGCACAAATTCTTCCTTTGACAATTATTACTGGTTTCCGAAAAATGCGTTACACCATGATCGTTTCAACTTCCAACGTCAATGTAAACTTTGTGGGCTGTCAACTAATATAACAAAAACGTATTTTTTTTAACCTCAAAGCCCTCAGTTGGCCATAATCGTCGTTGAAGAAATACTTCATTTGGCATCAAGGAAAAAAGATGAAGGTAGACCGATTTATTGTCATCAGTTTGCGGTTCGCCCTGTTTAACGCATAGGCCACTGAATCCGTTATTCAAATTCATCGCAAAAATATTCTCGAACCGGTCCGTCTTGACTCATATATCGTCACCATCATTTAGCATCAGACGTAACAGTGTCCAACATTTTCTCAATTTCTCATTTGCACAACGATATAGAAGCATCCAAAGTACTTGTCCAACAGTGTCCTTGACACGAACTCTATTCATTTACCCACCAGTTTGGTTTTTAGCTGAATTCCGGCTGAATCTTTCGTTGGTGATATTCTTCAAATGAGTGTGTTGCACAGATACTTACTGCCTCATTTTTCAGTTGGTATGATATTTGAGATAGCGCAGTACATTGTCTCGGTGGGACCCACTACTTACAAAGTTACTGAAAACTCACAACCGGTTTCATCCTTCGTGGGGCGCATCAAGTAGGCACAATCCGCTAGAGTCCGTCAAGGTATGATCTAGTTGAACCAAAGTTGGAAACCATTTAACGAAGTACACTCACGTGCCAACTGATTTGGTTGGTGCGGACTGTGTCTGCCTGCCGAGCTTCAAGTGGGACGAAACCGGTCGTGGGCTGTCGAAGTTTTGAGCAACCTTATGAGTAGCGTTCCTTCAGGAAAATACACTGCTGCAACACGGGGGCGGCCTCGATGTGGCACATTCAGTTGAACAATACTGTGAATGAGCTATTCAGCTGGGATTCATTTAAGTCTCTGGTTAATACCAGATGGTGTACAAACGAATGTTTAACCAAATTTAGAGATGCTCCTTTTGTTTGGCTAGATAACTTGTAGGTAATTACGTCACCATCAAATGAGGTCATGTAGACTCTGGTTCCGACCAAAGTTCACTAGGTTATTTGATCTCCGGTTCACACAGCGGTGGACAGAGCAGAGGGCTCACACGATCGATCAGAAATAAGCTGCTTCAGACCCTCAGCCGGGTCTTTCGACCTGATGAGTCTAACGAGAGGCGGAACTTATAGTTTGTTCTTAATTACCCGTATTAGTAGTGTGGGAAGACACATTTCTCCTCTTGTCCCAGAACTGAGATAACAAAATTGCTGTCCACGCAAACTCCTCTCTGTTAGTCTAATCAGATCAGGTTCGTAGACAAACATCTGTCTTTTCCGTTTGATGGACTAATAGGTAAAAATCATATCTAGACAATTGGACGATTAGGCTTTCGGCACTCGTGTTGAATACTTGAATGAAGTACTCGAAGTTACTTTGTTGCAGGCTCATTTGGGAACCTCTGACAGTTTTCACTTATTCCGATGATCAGCTCTTTGTAGGCTACCTCTCACTAAGAAGCTAGAAGTTACTGGGCTTTTCTAAAGAGAGGTTCGAGGAAGCAGCTATCGTCCCTTAGGGGATTCACACATCTGACTAGCACGTAAAAATAGGTGAAAGGGTTTGTTCAGTGAGTCTATGGCAACTTACGGGGTGAGTTTTAGCTCCCTTTAAATGAATAGTACTCAGTCACCTAGAGTGCCCAGAAGGTGAAAGATCCCGGGAGCCAAATATAATCTCAAACTGGATGACGACTGATACGGGCAGCTACCGAACACATTAAAAAGCTTTGGGAACATTCTCAGCCACTTATATTGTCCGATCAACAACCCATTCTGGTTTACTGGAAACTTTCGAGACTTAATCTTTTAAGCCGGTTAAAACGCCAAGATGTTTTCTAAAATAGTTTAATCATCATACAGTCGAAAGAAGGCATCAACATTACTTCACCTTATTCGACACTACGCGTGTGGGAATTTCGCGTCACATCCTTTTTGTTGTAGGCAACCAACCATCGGCTTTTTTTTCTTAGGCTAGATCCTTTTCTGTGTCCAATTTCTTGTCCGCCGAAATGTCTCCTAAAGCTGGAGCAAAAGTGAGACAACAACCCGTCTGGCCTGGAAAGAGACAGCAGACAAAGAGAATGCAAACCACGTGATGTCTCATTATACTGAACGTCTGCTCCACTTGTTCTGTCCCAGCGTAGGCCACTTGCAACACGATTGACAAGGACGTTCTTAGAATACGTGCAGCACAAATTACGTTCACGTTTGTAATGACGCTAGTCACGATGTAGGATCAAAGCCGTCGTTATTGATCCCCCGTCAGTGTCCAATTTCTTGTCCACCGAAATGTCTCCTAAAGCTGGAGCAAAAGTGAGACAACAACCCGTCTGGCCTGGAAAGAGACAGCAGACAAAGAGAATGCAAACCACGTGATGTCTCATTATACTGAACGTCTGCTCCACTTGTTCTGTCCCAGCGTAGGCCACTTGCAACACGATTGACAAGGACGTTCTTAGAATACGTGCAGCACAAATTACGTTCACGTTTGTAATGACGCTAGTCACGATGTAGGATCAAAGCCGTCGTTATTGATCCCCCGTCACGACTTGACTTCAGTCAGATATTTGTCCATTTTCCAGTTCACATGGTCGCAGCCAGCTGCATCAGTCGCGATCGATCTGTCGATGGCTTTCCACGTACAGAATCCGTCAGTCATTGATTCTGCCCCCACCGGATAGGTACGTAACTGATGGGTAGACGATCAAGACGTGGAAACGGTTGTACAGATCGATTAAAACGTTTTTCGAAATGACGGCGTACGTTGTTGTTTGTTGTACAGGCTACTTTTGCAGGCACACCCAACGCATATCCAGGGACTAAGTCGAAACCGCTTTGCCACTAGAATTTGGTCGAAATGCTGTGGCCAATAGAGCGCCAGTCCAATCGAGTTCAGTCGGTTTCTGGTGCCTGGATATTTTGCAAAAATAGGGGTGTGATGGAGGTTTTGATAGGCGTTCGTAAAGACCGAAACTGTTTGCCCTACAAGCACTGGTGGTTAAAGATGTCTCACTACTTCTTCGATGGAAAATTAACCCTTCGTTAGCGGGTGACAGGTCATGGAAAGCAACTTCAAACTTTACGGAAGTTCCACTATGAGGTACTGACGTAAAATATCAAAAGTAGAAAATTAGCTCAATAAAATGTGGTAACGCTTTTTTTAAAACAAGTTTTTGATACCATGCAAATAAGTAGTGTATTTCTTGTACAAGCTTGGCTGGATAGGATGGGAAAGAGAGGTTTCTCTTTTGTCTACAACTAATGGCTGTTTTATTGTAAACTACCTTAGGTTCATCAACAAGCCGTTATGTCGATCGCACTACCCTCATGAATGGCTGATATAACCGAACTTCTAAAGCACCACTCTTACCAGAAATTCCGTTTAAACAATATCAAACTCCAAAACCTGGTTACAACATGCCTAGGTAATCTTTACCTTAAAATCCTGAAAGACCAACATCTTTCTGCAAACGGAACTTTCTTTGCATTTACCAAAAAAACACCTGCGGACTTATGTTTTTCCACGAAAAACTAACAGACCTCGGTATCGTCTTCATAATGTTCTTCAAATGAACGGGTCAAACAAATGCCGCTTGTGCTTCAGTTAGAAGAACATCTGAACCATCAAGGGTATTTTCCTTGATTTAACAACTTTCTTACAACTTTGATGGAAATTCTGGGTAAGGTCAACATCAGTTTTGCCTCTTCTGGCTCATCAGGATGGGATTTCAGTAGTACGTCTCCTGATTTGGTGCTTAACCGGGAAACACGATTGATGGATATGGTGAAACTGGGTCGTTACCAGGATCGAAAGATTCGATAAAGTTTCATGTGTAGAACACAAACTTGACAGACAGTCGGGCACAATGCCTATCTGATGAGCCTCAAGGAGGGTGAAACTGCTATTGGACTGTGGAAGAGCTTTCAGTAACGTTGTGAGTAGTGTGTTGTGTCAGGGAACTAGAACTGCCTGATGAAACCCGGTAGGTAGCTCGATAGAAAAAAAGATAGAAGAGGAAAAGATAGAAGTTTTCCCCAGCTTGGCGGATATTGCCCTATCAGGAAGAATCCGCTTCTGTTTCGCGTAGAGCTTATGGGCGGCATCTATACTGTATGGTGAAAAGTGAGCGGTCTGTGTTGCCCACCTTTTCTTGATTTCATATGGACAGACTTTTAATCACCT